AAAATGCCTTGCTGACCTTTCTTTGCTAAAAGAAGAGGGAACCTAGTTAACCTCAGTGAAGCCTGGGAGAGAGGGACTCAAGATGGGAGAACTGTGCATCCTGAAATGGCAAAAGAGTGAAGGATGGCTGTATTGAACATATTTGGAGAGAGGAGAGGGACTAAACATTGTGTAAGTATGTACTAATAGAAGCTGTTAGAAAATGGAGGCTCTTTAAAAATAAGACTCCATGTGAGGCGTTCCATGAAGTGTTGGGAAAGCCCTACGACTGACTACAGTGACTGAAATGTACTCAAGAAACCCAGGCCAGAGTTACTGGCGCCCTTCCTCACAATTGGCCTTGACTCCCTCTCCACTTGTGTGTTTTCACATTGACTTGATCCTCAGTGGAATAACTGAGCAGTGGCTGTAGCTCAGTACGTAGAAAAACCCTCTAACCTTTGAAGAGGGAAATACCCAGTAGCACCATTGAAAAAAGAGGTTGTGTATAGAGTTTCGTTCTTAAATTTGCTTTGCCAAGGAGAAAGCCTGTGAGAGTGAAAGCAAGGTGGAACTGGGGTCCAAAGAGAGGGAGTAAACTAGATGCCATGTTAATTTGTATTTTTGGGAGAGTATGTCTGCAGTTGATATATAACTTGGTTTAAACATTTTTACAACCTGCTAAAAAATTTGGGTTTGGGTGGTCGATTTTCATTTGGAAGAAAAGATTTAGGAAGACAGTATAGTTCTGGGGGCACAAGCATGGCTACCTACAGGAGACAGGTTTGAAAGGAAAATAAGTGATACAGCCAGCTGAGTACTTTGGAAATTACGTGCCCAGTGACAAAGGGCAGCTCCCAACACAGCTTAATTCAGTCATCTCCAAGAAAGTTGGTCCCTGTGGCCAGAGTTTTAGATTTTCCCAGAGAAACCAGGAGTTTGGAGTTTTATGTGAATCTTCCTGCCTTTCAAATATTAGCAACAAAGCCATTTTTTCCCCCCAAGATCAACATAGAAAACAAAAAAAGTGGGCTATTTTAGGTCTGTGGACTTTTCCATTTGCAGCGAGTATCAAGATGAAGAGAAAAACGCACAGCCTAGGAGTTAGGTGACTTAGCTGAATAACACTGCCAATTCTAGTGCCAGACACAGTACTTGGCATGGAGCACATTCTCAATTTGTTTTGTTTTGTTTTTGAGGTAGAATCTCATTCTGTTGCCCCAGGCTGGAGTACAGTGGCATGATCATGGTTCACTGCAGCCTTAGCCTCAGCTTCCCAGGCTCAAGTGATCCTCCTGCCTAAGCCTCCTGAGGAACTGGGACTACAGGCATGTGCCACCATGCCTGGCTAGTCTTTAAAAATTTTCTGTAGAGACGGCATCTTGCTCTTCCTCAAATGGTCTTGAACTCCTGAACTTAAGCAGTCCTCCTGCTTTGGCCTCCCAAAGTGCTAGGATTACGAGCATGAGCCACTGTGCCCCAGCCTCAACATGTTTTTATTGAATAAATAAAGCAGCTGAGATCATCTCTCTTGGTTTCAGTCTTTTCATATCTAGAATGGAGAGATTGGAGTCAGCCTTCAAGGTTTCAGGTTGCTTTGTTTTGTTTTTTTCCTCCCTATTCCCTCTCCCGCAACAAGCTCTAATTTATAAGATCACAACTGTGTTTTCCTTGTAGGATTCATTTCTCTAGCCCCTTTTCTTCCCTCTTATGCACTCTTTAAGAAGCTAGGGTGCCAGTCTCACATTAAAGCTTGGTGATTTTGCTTATAAGTTAAGAAGTTAAGTTTATTCTGTTAAAAACAAGACTGACTTGGTTTAGCCTTTTTTTCCTTATTGTGATTAGCAGGTTTATACTTAATTTTGACAGACTGTATGACATAACAAGAGGTGATTCAGATTATGCCTTAAGTTGCAACAAAGTTCTGAATCTTAAAAGCACACAGAAATGTTACCCCTAGAAAATAAGCCATTTTCCCTGTAAAAGCCAATATAACACTGCCCATGTAGCATTGTAGGCTTTTCTCTGTTTAAAATGAATGATGGGGTGTTTCTGAACCCTTTGGGCTTCTGCAGTATATTCTTTTATAACATTCTGGTGATAGCTCTATTTTTAAAATACATTTTTTTACTATCTTGGACAAGATCATTTTTTGTTGCAGTTATCACAAATCAGTTCAAAAAATGAGCTCATAAAAAGGGGGGGCATTTACCCTAGATGCCAGGGGCTTCTTAAAACCCTAGGGAAGCTAGGGAAGGAAGTGCTGTGGGCCACTCAGGGGCTATGGCGGTAACAAGAAAGCCCAAGAACACTCCTGTGCAGAGACCCTCCTTCCCTCTCTCCCTTCCTCCCTCCCTTCCTCCCTTCCTTCCTTCCTTCTCTCTTCTGTCTCTCTCATTTCTCTCTCTCTCTCTCTCTTTCTCTCTCTCTTTCTCTTTTTCTGTCTCGTTTTTTCTCCTGGGAGAAACGGGAGATTAGTGACCTCTTGGGTCAGATTCACTCTGAGCAGCACATTCATTCTTTCATTCTCTCTTTGCTGACTGTCTTTTTCCTATAGACTGAAACAGCACTTAGAGGTAGCTTGCAATCTCCACCAAACTAGACCCTCTTCATCTCAATTTCTCGTTCTAAGAAGAACACATTGACTGTCTCAGTTTGTGTCATGTGTCCAGCTTAGACAAAGTTGGGAGTAAGTAGTTTGTAGCCCCATAGTAAAAGTATGACTTGGCATGGAGTTGAGAATTACATAGTTCTTAGAAAAAAGGGTCAACATAGGCTAGGGAGCTCCTCTAGGAGAAAGATGTCTTATATAATCTCCCTCCCCCTTAAAAAAAAAAGAGTTAATAAACTTATGCTTCAAGTTATGTCTTCTTTCTTTCTCTCCCACTGCTAACTGACCATCTTTTAAAGAAATCTTTTTAAAAATTATATTTGTTGAATGCTTATTACGTAGTAGTCGTTGAATGAATAAAAGGTATCAAGTTTAATGATTCTAAGAAAATTTTCCAAGTCTATTTAAAATGATTTCTTTTTAACTATTTCTCTTTGCAAAACAAAATTAAGTTGCCATTGAGGCAGTTTGGTGTACTGGAAAGGGAACTAAATATCACCAAAGGCCCGGATTCTAGTTAGTTTCACACCACTTGTTTGCTGGGTAATATTGAGCAAATTATGACCTTTCTCAGTCTGTTTCCTCAGTAGTAAAATGGAGATCATAGTAACAGCTCTTTTGAACACAGGGTTATTAGAAGATCAAATGAGAGAATACATACAAGCATATAATAGGTTTTTCCCCTACTAAAGAAAGGCTTTTGACCCCTATTCTAAGTAGAGAAGTTACTGTTTTTAAATGTTTATTTTTAGTAACTGCAACTATCATTTTTCTCTAAGAATTGGATTTCCTATAAAGCATTTTTACAGTATGCAACTAGTAAGTGATGAATTCTTTTAAAACCAAAACTATCCTGAAGGAGATGAGTATTCTGAATCTGATGACTTCCTTGGATACTTTGGAGAAGTAGCAGCAGTGTCCAGATGGAAAACTGAAAAATGGCTTGACCTAGTGAAATAAGATCAAGTGCGGAGTCTAATCTGATGCTGGTGTTGTTCTGCCTTCACCTTCTGTCTACTCTGAAGGAATCACCATCAGGGTGGTGAATGCTTATCATGAACATAACGTCTTTATTGACTGCCTCTATCATGGCAATTTGTAATTAGCTTTGAGTGATTTTTGCATAGCTATAAAGTATTTAGGATTCAAAGAAATGCATTTTGGCTCAGGACAGACATGTTAAACAAGAAAGCAGCTTTTATTGGAAGTAAGGCAGAAAAGGAGCACTAAAATGGAAATCAGAGAAATTTTTAAAAAGAAAGGAGACTGGGAAGGAATTCGAAATCTGAAGAGAAACATCTGGTTTATAAAGAGTGTAGGAATGATTTTAAGCATTACCGAATAGCATTTTGAGTGGATAAAATTGACACTTTTAAAAAGGGAGAGGGAAGCAGTATGACCTGGAAATAACTTAAAACCTAATAAAGATAATTATGAATAAATGTTCAAAACATGGCATATAATTTCAGCCACTGATTTTCAGAGATGCTTTATTCCTATCTTAGGATCTCAGGCCATAGAAACATTTGGTTACCATTTTAGAGTACATGAAAATAAATAAAAATTGAGCAAAGCAATATTACCTCCTCCATATCTTGCTTTATAGCCAGTGAGGATTACAGGGAGAGAAGTATATGAGTAGTGAATTTTTCATATGAGCTCAGCCTGTCTTGTGCTTTATACCTTGACAACGTCTGCCCCATAGCTGTGTCATTGCCCGTGTTTGCTGCTTTTTCTCTTCTGCATGTGAGATTTGAAGACCAGCTTATTTTCTAACTTTGGTTTTGTTAATCTGTCATTTCTTGACTCCTTAACTCATTGCTCCTCTACAAATTAATTAAAAAGCACATTTTACCTGAAATATATGCACACAACTATGAAGATAATGGAGCACATAGTTTCCTTGTGCTTTTTAGGAAGATGGTTCAATTGAATTTTTGTTTCCTGTTGAAGTATTAAAAATTGCTTTTATAAACTGCTGAAATGATAAAGAAGGACAGCGTGAGCTCTCCAAATAATAATCTTATTCAATCTGTATTTTTAAAATCTGTGATTTGACAAGTTTCATAAGAGCAGGCTTTCTGAATCGCCATTTTAAAAATTAAGTGGAAACTCATTAGTGCAAATTACATACAATGATTTTAAGCCCCAGGAGGCTAACTGTGTACATATTGAATAGTTATTTGTTCTTAGTTTATTGTAAATATAGCCAATTAAGTTCATTGTAACACACACACACACACGCAAATCACATTTGTTATAAAATTGGTAAAATGTCTTGAAATTTAACAGTTTGACATCTCAAAGCACATATAATTTTGGAATATCTGGCAACCAATGAGACTGTATGTTTCTGATTAGCTTTGTCCATCCGCTGTTTCATCCATTTGCCTTTTTTCTGTTTTTGTAGATCTGAACCGAATTAAGACGAATGAGCTTTCACAATTGCAGCAGATGAAGATCCATTGGTAAATCGATCAGGATTTTTGGCCTACCCTCCAAAGAAAAGGTAACTGGCTGTTCTGAGATCGCAAGCACAGTTGAACAAATACAGTGCTTCCAGTTATAACAGAGTTTGAGTTTTACCAAAGGATGATAGTTTGTTAATTTTGAGGCATCTGTGTAAGATCTCAAATGTTAAATGTAATCCTGAATATGATCTTAGAAAAATGAAATGACAATGAATTTAGGAGTATGATATTATTAGGTATTTGTTTCTCAACACAAAAACTGCTAAATAACATGCCCTCCAAATTTGTTAAAATTGCAGGAAGACTTTAGTTATAGAATCCTCCTTCTCTCCCAGTCTATACCCACTTTTTTCTGGAAGTTATCCAAAAGTGTGCTCTTGTTTCTTTCCAGCACCATTCCCCCAGCTCCTGTTTTCTTGTCTTTCCATATAATGTAGATCCAGCTGCTTAGGGCAGGGAAGATCCTAAGCAAGATTGTAAAACAGGCAGGCGTTCTTCAGGCACACTTTCTGGGCCCAGTGCCTTTGCCCAGGCTGCCAGACAGCTCTATGGTGATGAGTAGTCTCTGATCATTACAAAAATAGCAGCCATCATTAATGGAGTGTCTTTTTTTTTTTTTTGAGACAATCTCACTCTGTCACCCAGGCTGGAGTGCAGCGGTGTGATTACGGCTCACTGCAACCTCCACCTCCTAGGTTCAAGTGATTCTTGTGGCTCAGCCTCCTGAGTAGTTGGGATTACAGGTGTGCACCACTACACCTGGCTAATTTTTGTATTTTAGTAGAGATGGAGTTTTGCTATGTTAGCCAGGTTGGTCTCGAACTCCTGACCTCAAGTGATCCACCCGCCTTGACCTCCCAAAGTGCTGGGATTACAGGCATGAGCCTCCAATGCCTGGCACATTAATGGAGTTTCTCACTGCATGTCCACCATTGTACATTTACTGGTTTGGGGAGGATAGTGGTGAAATTTCACATAATACAAAGCAGAAAATTCCTGGAGGAATTTTGATTAAAAAAAAACAGGGCTGAATACAGTGGCTCACACATGTAATCCCAGGACTTTGGGAGGCTGAGGTGGAAGGAATTGCTTGAGCTCTGGAATTTGAAACCAGCCTGGCCAACATAGCTACACCCCCAACTCTAGAAATATTTTGTTTTATTTTATTTTATTCTGGAGTGCAGTGGTGCCATCTCAGCTCATTGCAAGCTCCGCCTCCTGGGTTCTGGAGCAGCTAGGACTACAGGCACCTGCCACCACGCCCAGCTAATTTCGTTTTTGTATTTTTAGTAGAGACGGGGTTTCACCATGTTAACCAGGATGGTCTCGATCTCCTGACCTCGTGATCTGCCCTCCTCGGCCTCCCAAAGTGCTGAGATTACAGGCGTGAGCCACCGCGCCCGGCCTACAAACAATTTTTAAAAATTAGCCAAGCACGGTGGTGTATGCCGTATAGTCCCAGCTACTCAGGAGGCTGTGGCAGGAGGATCCATTTGAGCTCAAGAGCTTGAGGCAGTTAGCCATGATGATGCCGCTGCACACCAGCCCCAGCGACAGCAAGACCCTATCTTAAAAAGCACACAACAACAACAACAAAATTATTCTCCTGCTTCTGAAAGGAATAAGATAACTTACAAGTTAAGGTGCAGTTTAAGATGAGTCATTAAAGACTAAAACAGAACAGAATGGAAACAAGATTAAAGGAGTTTCAGCCTCTGGAATCAATTATCTTACATACTTAGGTAACAAATGTGATGCCACAATCAGGTTTTAGGCAACTGTAACAAAAATGGTAGCATTTCAGACAACACAAAAGATAACATTTTTACCATTAACAATCTGAAACAACTTCACAGAAAGTGTTTTAGTACTATTGAGATGTTTAAAAGAACAATTTGGGGAGCTATGAAGTCTCTACCTTGAAAACAGTCTCTTAAAATTTTTCTGGACTAAAGCTGAAGGGATATGCACAGATATCTTTCAGTGATCATTGAAGTCATCACACTGAATGTTGTTCATTGTGTCATGTCTGCAAGGTGCCAGAGAAGAGAGAAACAGGCTTTCCTGTATGGTGTCCAGTCACTGACAATGGAGGAGTATAGGGAGAAGCTAAGAGGAAACACGTTTGGCAGACTGCCAAAGGAGCTCTTTAGTGCCTGTTTATGGAGTTTTTACTGTGTGCATGGGGATTGTCCCTGGGAGGAAAAGGAGAAGAATAGGAGGTGATTTACACGGACTGCAGTGATAACTTAGGCGTTTTTGACTATTATACCAATGAAAAGATTAATATGATGCCAGGAAGTAAGTGACCAAGAAGCAGAGAAAGAAGAGGAGTCACAAGTTCAAAAGTCTCGAGAGACCAGAGAGACCAGAGAGGGGAAATAAAGTGAGCCAGGTGGAACTGTGAGAAACCATCCAGTCCATGATCCATCTAATGTGGCAACCCCTTCTCAGCAACAGATTGTAGGCCCAATATCTGTTCATGCAACAAAGATTTATTGGGTGCCAACCTACGTGCTATGTTCTCTTATGGGCACTGGGGATAAATTAGTAAATCGAAAGGACAAATATCCCTGCCATTGAATTGGCGCTTACCTTTTTTTCTTCATTAACAAGTAAAAATTGGATATGTTTATCATGTACAGTGTATTCTTTTGAAATATGTATTCATTGTGGAATGGCTTAAATCAAGCTAATTAAGGTAGGCATGACTTCTCATACGTATGTTTTGGTTGTGAGAACACTTATCTAGTCTCTTTGCAATTTGCAAGAATACAACACATTGTTATTAACTATAGTAAGCATGTTTTGCAGCTGAAGTTCTTGAACTCATTCTTCCTAACTGAAATTTTGTACCTTTTGACTAACTTTCCCTAAACCCGTCACCTCTATCCTCTGGTAACCACTGTTCTATTCTCTACTTCTCTGAATTCAACTTTTTAAGATTCCACATATAAGGGAGATTGTGTCCTATTTGTCTTTCTTGGCCTGGCTTATTTCACTTAACATAATATCCTCCAGGTTCATCTGTGTTGCTGCAAATGACAGGAGTTCTCTTTAAAAAAAAAAAAAATACAGATAGGGGTCTCACTATGTGTCCTAGGCTAGTCTGGAACTCCTGAACCCTGGGCTCAAGTGTTCCTCCCACCTTGGCCTTCCTTCCAGAGTGCTTGGATTACAGTTGTGAGCTACCACATCTGGCTGGATTTCCTTCTTTTTAAAGATTGAATAGTATTCCATTGTGTGTGTGTATATCACACAGTGGAATATTATTTAGCTATAAAAAGAAGGAAGTATTGATAACATGCTCCAACATGGATAAACCTTGAAAACGTTTTGTTAAATGAAGGAAACCAGACACAAAGGCCACATATTATGTGGTTTCATTTAATATTCAGAATAGGCAAATCCATAGAGACAGAAAGCAGATGTGGTTTTCAGGGGTTGGGGAGGGAATGTGGGCAGTGACTGCTTGATGAATACAGAGTTTGCTTTCGGAGTGATGAAAATGTTCTGGAACTAGATAGTAATATTGGTTGTACTACACTGTGAATGTACTAAATGTCACTAAATTGTACGCTTAAAATGGTTAAAGCCCAGGTGCAGTGGCTCATACCTGTAAATCTAGCACTTTGGGAGGGCGAAGCAGGAAGATTACATGAGTCCAGGTGTTTGAGACCAGCCTGGGCAACACTTGAAACCCTGTCTCTATTTAAAAAGTACAAAAATTAGCTAGGCGTGGTGGCATGTGCCTTTAGTCTTAGCTATTTTGGAGCTGAGGTGAGAGGATCACTGGAGTCTTGGAGGTTGAGGCTGCAGTGAGCCGTGATTACACCAGCTGGATTGCACTTGCGTCTGGGCAACAGAGCAAGACTTTGTCTCAAAATAAATAAATAATAATAAAATGGTGAAAATGGTGAATTTTAGTTATGTGAATTGTATTTAAAAAATAATGGCATTTAGAAAGACTTTCAGAAATGTGTACTTTATGTCTTAGACATGAGAAGGTAGTTTAGCTAGAGTGGAGTCTTTGTAAGGGGCAGTGGTGGATGCTAAGGGTGGGAAAAGGTTTGGCTAGATATTGAAAGATATTGACTGGCCAAGGAGTTTAGCAGCTATAAATATAGCACCATATACTCCATGAGGAAGAAGGAAACTCGAGAGGTTGGTGCTCTGGGAATTGCAACTAAAGATGAAGTTTCAAGCAAAGGCAGTGGCCTGTAGTTTTATCAGTCTGTGCCGTTGCTACTCACCTAACAGAGTTTTGTGGCAATCTCACAAAAGTTTCAATATTTAGAGTTTCTTCTTCTAAAAAAAAAACTTTATAAAAGGATAATCATCTTTTAAAATAATCATCCTGACTATAAAACTATGTTGATAAAAAATCTAAACATTATATAAATATATATGCTAATTAAAATTCCTTTGAGTTTAAAGAATTAAAGCACCTTTAATTCTTTTACCCCTTGCTTCTCATATGGTAAATCCAGAGTTATCTAGACTGTGTTTTGCATAAACTTAGCATCATCATCATCACTTTTTCACAAAAATAGGCACATATGATTCATAGTATTTTTTGCATGTTTCTTTAAAAAATGTTTATCTTGGTTGTCTTGCACTTCTTTTTTTTTGGACCATTACATTATATGCTATTTTATTTGTAAAAACAAAAAGTTGAAAAGTAACGGTTACATACCTCTATTAGAGGATGAATTGTTATAAAATGTGAAAGTAGCTAACACACACTGAGCACTTAATATGTGCCAGGCACTATTCTGAACATGTTAATTTATTGACTCTTCATAAGCTCATTAGGTAGATATTATTGTTATCTTCCTTTTGCAGAGGAGCTAACTGAGGTACAGATGAAAAAGTTGTCCTGCCAACGTCCAGAGTTAGGTAGTGGCAGAGATGGGTTCCAGGACCAGCTTCATCTCCAACTCATGTTCCCATGAGGAATGCTGTGGCTGGTGGTGTCAGATTTTACTTAGGATTTTTTCAAGAAAAGTCAATCTGGAATTTTTTGTGAAATTTTCCA